TATTAATAGTATTATTTATTAGGTCTATTATCAGTGTTAACGGTTTATAATTAACATTTTTTTTTTTACATTACAGCATATTTTATACTACTATTTTTTAACTCAAAATATCTGAAAAAGTAATAGTAATTGAGTAAATGAAAATATAGAAATCTGATTATGATTATTTAATTTATTTATTGTGAGGTGTGTGAATACCTTGTACATGTTATTTTTAACTTGATATTTAACGACTGTTTTCACAACATTACTTGTTTTTATATATACTTTTTGTAAGAAGTATATATAATCGTTTATAAAAGTATATATATCGTTAATCGTTAGATTTAAAATTTAATGTAAGTTTTAAATAATGTTTTTTAATATTTAGTCGTTATTAATGAATACATTGATTAATTATGCCTAATGAAATATTATATCTTCCGATTTAAGAAATAAATGGCTTGGTTAATTTTCTTTGGGAGAGATATTTATATTTATTAATCTAGCATTGTTTACGTGCAATTGTGGATAAGAGTGCGTTGTTTTTTTATCACGAAGTTTCTATATTATCTCAATATACTTAATGAGGCGGAGCGCTCAAAAGCTTAATTTCTTCTATGCTTTATGTTTTTAGCTTCGCTTCTTTCAAATGTTTTTCAACGAGAAAAATCACCAATCGTTTAGAGAAGATTTCCGACAAGTAATTTGAGGAGGATAAGTGTCTGCCTTAAAGGGGCGTGAAGGAGTTCTCTGACGCTGTTGAAATTTTCAGCTTTTAACGACCTTCATAAACACTAGGTCTTTAACACCTCGAAAAGGCTACGTTGTAAAATTGATTTTTTTTTTCTCCCCCTCCCTCGCCAATATCGAAAACTCTGCCGCGTTATTCAGAAAATCGATGGTAGATACGATCTCTCTGGGAGAGAAAAAAAAATCTCGTTCGCGTTTACGTAGAAATAATGACTGTCAAAGCTCATTTGACTAATGTATATCATTGGACATAATTTAAAGGCCGATTATTATAATACTGGCTGGACAATTAGTTGCTCAGAAAATCGTTCCATTATGCAAATTTTGTGAGGAACGGTTCACGCATAATTTGTGGTTCTTCGCGTCGTTCAGCCTCGGTATAAATTTCAATCCTTTAGATGCAATAATCGCCTCCATCTTGCTCCGAGGACAATATCATTTTATTAATTATACACTATCATAAAATCTATTCCCTACGGTCCTTTTTTCTTTACTAAGTCCTTTTTATGCCTTAAATTAAATTAAAAAATAATTAATTTCTGTTGTCGAAGTTCATGAGCTTGCTTTGATGATAAGCTTGGTCATTAAATCCGTTCCGTACTAATGTTTCTTTGAACTTTAAATACTTCATTCTGCTTTAATTAGACGGTTTACTTTCTTCACTGTTTGTTCATAATAAATAGGACCTATAATTTTCTGAGAAAACTGTATAATTTTAAAATAATTTGATTATAACTCCAAAAGAAAGAATTTTCATAATATCATTCAATTAATGAAGTTCATAATTTCTTCTCTGGCTTTGATGTGTCCTAAATTCAACCTGATTTTATATAAAAGCAAAAAGAGATATGTAGGTAAAGAAGACAATTATTTTAAAGAAAATGATTGGAAATGTTGTTTCAAATACTGAGATTATGTGTTTGGATTTAAAGATTGGGCTAATTTATTTATCATTTTTCTATCCTTATGAAATGTGAACTAGAGAACATTTGACGGGTTTATTGTTTATTTTAAAGGCGCAAGTTTTTATGATTGGAATTTTACAAGTATATCCTTAAAATATTGTCGTTATCTACTCATACAACACATTAGTATTGCCCAAATGCAAGACAAAGACGAGTCTTGGTCTTGCGCACTGTCTTGATCTTGCAAGAGTCTTGCAGTTACCTCTCAGCTTATTGCTATTTATTAAACATGTTGCTTTAGTTCCTAGAAAACACTACATAAAACGTGCATTTAGATGTTTTATTGACACAAATATTTAAGCCTAACCGAATTAATAAAATTAACTTGACAATACATTAAAGGTATTGTCAAGGAAGATGGTGATAGACCCTCGCTTTGGAATGGAAGAGTCGTTGAGTAAATATAACCTACACAATCTAACCGATAAAGTAAATTAAATCTGGAGGGTCTAATCATACATATGCGTAGACCCTTTCTACCGATTTGAAACTTTTTTTTTTCATTTTTAAATATGTTCTTTAAAAATAACACATTTAATATAGAGGAACCTAACTAAACCCCGAATGAAAAAGTGAAAGAGTTAAATACAAAAATATATTTGTTCTACTAATTCATTACACATACTAACTAAAATTGTCTAGTATCAGTTTATTGCCTTAAGTTTATTCACAAAAACTTTTTTATTTATTTTATTTTATTTGATCAGTCTTGGTCTTTGTCAACAATTGTCAGTTGTGCACCAATTAAGCGGTTAGATTTTGGGCAACACTACAACACATACACAGACACATCTTTTATTTTTTATTTAGAGGCATACCAACTTCGTACATCCTAAATAGGCATATTAAATTTTGATTTCGCTGTCGAAATTTCTGGCAAAGCATATTGGTAGATTATTAGAATTAAAAATAATGACACATTTTTATTCAATATATGATTTATGAAACCTATATTTCAGGATTTACATTATTTTGATAATGACTCGATGTGTTATTATGAACCTAATGATATACATCAAATCGCACAAAATGGATAGCAAACACTTCAATGGATTAGGGAAAAAAGATAAAGATTTAAAATTTATTTGCTATATACTTAATCTACGTGTTTTTTTTTTTATAGTTTACAATACCATTGCGTATTGTATAACATATATAAATAATTTATTTTCTTTAAATCATTTTTTTTTCTGGTGTGATCCCGTTGCTTATCTTCTCTCATTACTACATCTTATAATAATGTATATATTTTGTTTGCTTTAGCTATTTGGATTTTAACATAAGTCAATCTTTTTTATTTACGTAATTTTGATATTTTTTTCTTTTTGCCATTTTTTCCAGTAAAATTATAAGTATAGTTGAGAAGATTTTATTTTATTTTTTTTTAGTAATTTACATACTATTATTTAAGTTGTATATATTGTTTGAATCTTTATTAAGTTAGTTTTGGACCAGATATGTATTTTTTCTTTTGTAACTGTTCGTTATTGTTATTCTAAGCGGACATCGTCCTAGAATGAAGTTTATTTCCTATTCTATCCTATTTTTTTCATAATTTTGAAATTATTTCTTGTTTTCAATATCAGTTTTCTAATTATAACTATATAAATAATCTATAAGGACTCCTGAATTTAACAAGTATAATATTTTTTTAACGTTGAGTCCAAACCAAACGCTGGATTATACAGAAAGGATTTACTACTTAGATGGTAGTACCATCTAGCGGTAAACGTTGGGACTACGTTCGGGATCCCTCTCCTGAATTCATATAAGGCTTAGTTTTTTATAATGATGAACTGTTTATTATTTACCAATCCTTTCCAAATTTTTAATAAAAACTGATATAATTAATTAAATAATTTAAACTATTTTAACTAATTTCATTAATGGTTTTAAAATAATTTATTGTAGAAAACTTATTTGTAAGAACCAAGAATTTATAAATAATATAGAATCATCAATAAATAATGATTTTCTAATACAAAATAAATACCGGATTGAATAAGTTATTAAAATTTGATATGTTGGTAGGTAAATCAATAAATGAACCTCTTCAAAGTACTGATATACTTGTCTCCAATGACTATTCCAGCTCTATAATATTTAATTATTGATATAAATAATTTAAGATAGTGTTGTAAAGAAACAACAAAAGATACGTATACAACATATAATTTTCATTACCTATATATAGAAAAGCCATATAATACTTATTTCACTTTAGAATTTAATCATCACAAGTTAGAATTTCTTAAAATAATTACTCTATATAATTAGGTGTTTTATTACAATTGTTACTAAACAATGTCCTTTTTTCCCCATTAATTATTACAGGATAGTAAATAGGATCAAGATTATCTGTGTTTTTATTTATGTTAACATGAAATAACGCATGAAGGATCATTAATAACATTTTTGTAATTATGTTTCATGTTCGATTATTTTTTTTTTGGTGAGTGAAAAATTAATTATGAAATAAAAACGGTCAATGATTTTTTGAATTAATTACAGGGTGATTTTTTTATGTACCAGTCTTATGACATGTATTTATAATATAGTTAGTTTGAATTAGAAAGGTTTTGTAAATATTACATACTTTATCATTATTACATATTTTCTCGAACTTTTATTAGGAATTTACTAAGAACAGTATTAATTAATACATATTAAAATTATATACGTTACTTATTAATTTACTTAAATGCAAAAAAAGGGATTCTAAAAATAAAAATTACACAATTTTTTCTTCATAAATTATGAATGCTCTAAAATAATGTAAAAATGGAAACATCTCCTAGCTATGAATGGACGCCTCGAACTACAAATTTTATTTTCGTACTTGTTCATTTTTTTTGGGCCAAAAATAAATTAAGTATTAAAATAAAAACCAATACTAACTGATCGAGAGGTGTTGATTTATTCCATAACCAATTATATATTTCAATTTGTGTCCTATATTAAATCCTTTTTTAACACTTTTTATCCACAGAAGTACGGCATAGAGAGTAAGTTCACTGAGTTTAAAATTTGATTTTTCCTAGTTTTTTACTTGAAAAGGAAGGAAGTTTAAAGGTAAGATTTAGGACGTGAGGATGAAAGGAGGAAGAGAGAGAACCCTTTCGCTTCCTTCAGCGACTGGGAGAGGACTGTGTTAATTCCTGAAGCCGCCACGAGGTCGCTACGTTAGCAAGCGGTGGGCGGGGCTAGAGGGCGTGTCTTCTGCCGTTTCCAACCTGCTTTCGCCCCTCCCATCCTCCTTTCATTGGTTTGCCTCCCCGTGGAGGGAAGTTAAGCAGAACTGGATGCTTTGAGCCAGTCCCAATCCGACAGTGAATGTGTTCGGAGTGGAGTGGTGTGCTTAGTGATACCTCTCAGTGGACCGACCCGTACGTTCAGATATTACAAGTTTTACATTTCTCGGATTTTCAGTAAATATTTTATCAAAGAATTTTACTAAAGTATAAGTAGACTTTATATTTATAATCGATTTGTGGGAAGGTTTTAAAACGTCACCAACAGATAGCGCGGTATGCCTGTACGACGGTCAAGGTCAGCCTTTACTAACGGAATAATCTTACTAAAGGGTTGGGCCCGCAATGATTGTTTTAAATTTTTGTTTCTTCTCTTTTCGCAGAGTACTTCCGCCAAAGATGACTATCCCAGAGGCTGGCAGGGAGAGAGGGGGGTGGTTAGGTAAAATGGAGGGAAACTGTGCCCCAACCCCCCTCCCCGCCTTCCCCCACCACTCCCCCCTCCAAACCAGGCAACCGTGCCCTTCCTTCATTTCAACTAGGGCTGCTTCTAGGCACGGACCTCTCCGTCGAGCCGGGCCTCATAGCCATCTGTTGACCGTAAGTAACAACTTTATTTTAGACCTTTCTCTCTCTGCTCTTACTCCACTTGTACTTCAATCAAATGCTTATTGTATACTATTTGATGGGTTTATGTATAGTACAAAAGGGCATCATCTATTGTATGTATTAATAGACATAATCAGAAGGAAAAAGTTTCCGCCATTGCCGACACACCCATTTTACGTAACACTTGAGGAATTTTACTATGAAATGGGCTTATAGTTTTATTAACTTTTCGGTATACTCTTCCGTTCTTAGGTAATGATATCCCACGAGGTCATGAAGGCCATGTTTTATTTTTTTTTTAATAATGGTTGTAACTAACTTTATTTTTTCAATTCAATTAGCGGACATCGTTCTTATTTCTTTTTTAGTTGAATAAAAAAATTAATAATAATAAATGAATTAGTGAAAGGCTTAACGTTAGGTGTGAATATATCGTGTTATGTACTATCCTCGTGGAGAGTATGAGGTGGCCCTGAAATGTTTGCCGAACAGGTAGTAGCCCAGTTATCGGCTAGATAAGACTGGGGAGATATCTGTAACCCTGCTCTCTTTAGCAGCCTACCTATCTCTTCTCCTTTTATTTTATGTTAAGCTAATAGTCTTTTTACGAGTCTACTGTTCCAAGATAAGTGGCATACAATTATAGAAACGTTTTAACTCTAGCACATGTCTAGACAACGTGTGGTACTTCCTTCATCTGTATTTCTCTCTCTCTCTCTCTCTCTCTCTCTCTCTCTCTCTCTCTCTCTCTCTCTCTCTCTCTCTTTCTCTTTCTCTCTCTCTCTTAAGAATGATTCTTATATGATAGATTGCTATATTTCTTTGAACATCTTCAGTGTTCGTATTAAATACGTTACTTACCGCCTCGTCTTGAGACGCTGATGGGCGGAAGTGTTTGGGCGTCCACGCCACGCGTTGGTCCCCTCAAAGCCATCATTCCCGCCAAAACTGAAACCGACGCTTGGGTTCCCCTCCCCCGCCTTGGGGACACATGCGTATACGCACATATGCGCGTCTCTCGTAGTAGATAGCGTTTTAAATCACTCATTCCTGTGTTACCGGCACTTTTATATGCATTTGCCACAGATGCCGGTAAGACGCGCTCGGGTCTACTTCATGGTATGAATTACATTTTTTTATATTTTAACGTGCTCATTTTTTATTTCAAGTTGAAAGAATAATTAACACATTACCTGTTATTTTAATCCTTTTTACTTAAGCAATGGTATTATTTATTGTGTATCCAAATCATATAGTGTTCTGAAAACAACGTGGCTCACAGTTAAGTTAGCAACTTCATTATAGGCTATTTTCTCAATTTTCTCCTTGTTAACTGTGATTAAATCACCACAGAAACAGCTAACGAACACGTGGCACCTCAATATTCGTCAAGTGTAATCCTTAATGTTTAAAATAGTTTGAGACACCTGCGAAACATTGAGAGAGGATAGGTGAGGAGAAACCTTAGCAGAGAGTATTATTTCCGCCTGATCGAAGCCATTCGTCCCTGAGGGTTATTAATAGTCATTACGAACGCCATTAATTCAGGAAATGGTCCCCTTTTAGACAATAATGGACAACTGTTGATGACTGTTTAACATACAATTTGGTACCAGGCTGCCATTAAGAGATGGGCATAAAAATATCATTCCCTGACCTTTATCTCCCAGTTGTTGCGCAACCACAATTGTTGTAATAGCTTATTTTTTAGTGTAGATTTTTTTTTTTATTTTAATGGTACGCTTTTAAATTTTTGCTATTGAAATTAACATTACTTTAATGTTATGAAGTCATGATTTCTTTTTTTATACTTTGTGTGTCTGTTGTAACAAAATAACGTTCTAAATATGAGCTTGTGTATCAATATATCAAATAGGTATGTTCACAAAGTATACAAATATTTTTAATTTATATTGAAAAAATACCTCTTCATTTGTTTGAATAAATTCTGATATATAGATATGTAGTAGAAAAAAAAATTAAATTTTTCAAAGTCCAAGGTTGACATATACGACAAATTCTTGTATAACCGATTTGTACAAACTTCGTTCTGCATTTATTTCAAACATAAATCTCATATTATTATTTTTTTTTTCAATTGAAGAACTACAATAAAAAAAAAAAAAGGAAAAATAAAGCTTTCCTAATTATTTATAATATGAATGTGTTAACTTTTTCTTTAAAACTTATTTATTATATTCTGATTCTGATGTTGAATGAAAAAAAAAAGAATATTAACTATTTGAATGAATAATAGAATTTTTATTATTTTATGAAACTATATATTTTTGATCGTTTAAATAACTTTCATCAAATAGCCATTTATTAAAACTATTGTTATACATGATACTATGTACTTAATATATTTATATTATTTCATTTTATTGTGTTCAATTCAATTATTCATTGGTGTATATATTATACAAATGTTTTTGTATAAAATACAACTGGGCATTATATCAGTTTCTGAATGAGTTTTATTTTATTTTTCTCAGACTGACCAAATCTGAATTCCCTAGTCTCACAACACCTGGTTGTTTGAATTTTATTTTGTTTTTTATGTTTAATAAGTATTACTGATAATAAAGGAAAGTCAAGTGAAATGTTAATTGATATCTATTTCAGTATGCTTATTGTTGATGAACTTTGCATATATATCTACTTATATTTTTGAATTCAAAATTTCTTGAAATATCATGCAAGACAATAACAAAACTAATTTCTTTGGGGTGCAAAGTGCGAGGTGTGTAAATCATATCTTGTGGAATTACTTGTTTATTATCCCAAATGTTATAAATATCTGTTATGAATAAATACGGATTCCTTAAACATAATCCTATCTACTTTTCCCTTCGAGTTCAGCCATATTTAATATACCTGGAGTCGGATTTGAACCTGTAATTGTGCCTTAGTGGGAGGGTTCTGACTCCCCTGGGACAAGATCTCATTCCTGTCTTATTACTCTCCAAGTAATCCTTGGATTAGGACTGCCAAGGGGGCCGACCCCATGTTTAAGGATTACGACGGATCCGCCCTCGTGGAATATTGACGTTGCTATTGGAGGATTTCAAGTTCCAAGTTCCAGTTTTTAGTGGAATCCTCATTTCTGAGATTGACATTTAAATAATTCATACCTTTTATTGGCATAAATCATATTTGCCAGGATATTTTTAAAATGTATATAATTAGCTGATTTTTTTTTATAATTTATTTAAATTCAATAAAATAAGTAATTTACATACAGAATCATTATATAAAAATCATATTATTTCTTGCAAACAAAAAGTCCATGTGTATAAAATTTTTTTTTTATACAACAAGACACTTTTAATGTTATAATACATAACCATTATAAAAAAAATTGAAAGCATCGATCATTTTCATGTCATTAAATGAAAATTAATGAGATTGGCTCATCCGAATCGAAATAAAAAAATTATGTAAGACGCTCATGAAAAAAAAGAAGATTTTTATTACCAAAATTACCACAATTTCAAAATGACCATGGTCGAAATAACGAAATTTTATATCAAATTAAATTTAAGTATAGATTCAGAAAATGGTTTTAATTAAATTGAAAACAAATATGTACAAACCTATTATTTTTTAAATTCTCATTAGTTTACAGATAAACATTTAAAATGTTATAATATTAATCAATCAGTATTAATCAATTTCTGTGACTGATCAAATTAAACAAAAGACTTTAAAAAAAAAAAATGTATTCATGGTAATGAATTTCACTCACTGTATTAAACAAATGCTTTATTATACGAAATAAACGATTAATTTAAATATTAAATAATGACTATAAATCCCAAACACTTATTTAAATTTATTTAGGGAAATCAATTATCCCATGATCTGGTTTATTTTTTTTTCTCCAAATCTCCAACGTTTGAAGATCACTATAGTCGAAATTTTGCTATGAATATATGGTGCAAGGTTATATGATATTTCTTTATAGTTGACAGATTAAGCGGATAAATTAAACTATTACAAGGAATAAATAATTTGTAGTCAGTTGAAGGCATTATATCTGAAAGTTTTGAACTTGCCAAATATCTTTGTCACACTGAACTATACAGCATTTTCGTACTTTCTCTCTTGAAATAATGTGAAAACAACAAACAAAAAACTTTACTGTAATTGAATCAATATCGGAAATATTTGTACCTTTTTGAATTTTAATGTCTATTTACTTTTATTATTATTTTTTATTCCTTTTGATTTCTTTCAGATATTTTATATTTACATAATTATATACATATATAATTATATTACATATACATTTTCTTTTTAAATTATATACAGTTATTCTACAAATTATTACAAACAAATTTTGTATATTCTCCATTTTTTTTTAATTGTATGGAATATCTGAAGAAAGACATTGTACGACAACGCTATAAAAGACAACACTATGACTGCTAATAAATGTTAAAAACGTCAATACTGCATTGCATTTCCAATTCATCGGATTTTTGTTTTGTTTTTTCATTTCGAATACATTATTCACCACCGATGGCATATTTGGTTTCATTAGCGAGGGGCATTATTTTGATGAAATTTCTGTTTATTCAGAAAGATGAGGAATGCTCATATTTATTGAGTGGGCACTGCCCCTCGATTGAAGGTAATCAATCGAAATGGCAGTGCGATGGGATGTATTATTCAGAACGGTACCGCTGTGGAATCCTCTGTGCGATGGGAGCTCGCATGTCCGATGCATTAATGATACGGTACTAATGGATCAGGGACACTGCCTCGTTGGATTAATATTACAGATCCCAGTTCGCGAGTTCACAAATGATCCCCATGCAACCGGCTTCACAAATGCTGTTTGTGAGTGCGAATTCGGAGCTCGATTGTCCAACATGGCACGACACATGTTAAAGCGAGCTTATGTATAAAATAGCCGATAATCACCGTTTTTGCTACTTAGCTGTATAAATAATTAATTTATTGAGGCTGACAATAACATGTTTGACATGATTTCAATGTTTGTGTTAAATACGAATCTTTCGTTACCTTCAACAAATTATTCCGATTCATAATACATAATTAGACTAAAAAAATATAATAATTTTGATGAAGCCTGTATCGAATAATTTTATAATCAAAATAATTGGTATAATACAATAATGAACAGAGAGAAATGTTTGTGAAAAATTTCAAATCGTAAAATTCATAAAATAATTGTATAATTAATTTTTATAATTTTTAATTTATGTTTCTCATGAGCTAATTAAAATTATTTTTAAAAAATCATTTATTTAACCAAAAATTATTCAAACAAATATATTTGCCTAGTTCACTTAAAGTTATAAAAAAATATTGGTACTATAAAAATAAATAAAAATGGAACTCATATTTTTAAAAAATAATTATAGAAACCTGTATAGTAAACTATATGATTATAAAATATAATTTATTTTGAAAGGCAACCGAAATAGGTTTAAATAAAACAAAAAACGTAATTTAAAAATAAAGATACTTTATGTATTACAATACTGTCATATTATTAATTTCAATAATTTTCTATTTGCTAACTTTCCTGTGTCATGACTTTAATTATAGGTACTTAACATTTTCGTTGATAAAAAAAAAAACATAAACGGAATTAGACAAACATATCAAAACATAACCACTACATTTAAAGTGATAAAAACTTTTATTTTTTTTTTTTAAATCTACAGATACGTTGGCTTTAGAAACGATTAATAAAAAGAATATTAATCTACCTAAGTTGTTTCAAAATGAAATATTGATATATTTTATACATATATTTCATTATAGCTGATTGAAAAAAAAAGAATTAATGCTTCTTAAAGAATGTTTGTTATAAATCGTTCATGTATCCTGTATTTAGTAAACCGACAGTTAGTAAAACATGTGTTGTGCATTGTGAATACATTTAATTCTCAGAAAAAAATAATAATTCATTTTCTCTATATCCAGTCATATTAGTGTTAAAAAAATTAAATATAGAATTCTTCGATTAAACAAAGGTTATTTGTATGATAGTTTAAACTGCTTTTTTTTGAGTCCATAATCAATGCATATTTTTATGATTTATATTTTCGTTATTACCTGTTAATTTATTTTATTGTTGTTATTGTTTCAATACTAATACAATAAATTATAGTATCTAATATCAGTTATGGTATAAATGTATATATGGTATGCTATTTGAATAGGCAATAAGAACATTAATATAATTTTAATTTTCTATATGAAGATTATCACATTGGAAGGATGGCGAATTGATAAGTTGAACGAAAAGCGTTATCTGGCACACACTCATTAGAGCTAATGAGAGGCTATTTGTTAATCGATTCTCTGCTAATTGAGCTCCAAATGGTTCCACCAACTTTATCGAAACAGTAATAGGTGATAAGATATCTTTCATTTTCTAAGAGTTCAAACAAATTGTAGCGGATATTAAATTTCCTAACTCCGGCTACGGAGAACCAATATTGTTCATTATATGATTTTTATTTATTTATTTTTTATTTATTTTTATTTTTTATTTTTTATCAGCAATATTCGAGCATAAGGCAACAGTTTAATCAACCAGATAATAGCCATTTGTCGACTTCTGCATAAACTCTCAAAGCCGTGAGTACTAAAGTAATTGAACTCAAGTGAAACGAAGAAATATTCAATTGCGAAAGGCATTAGAGTTACATAGGTGATTTGCACACAATGGGACAGTTTGCGCTGCGATGACCGGTTTGTCTGTTGCCCTCTCCAATGGCCTCAAAGTTTCTTTCTTGGTACTATTTTAATTTTAATGCTGATTAACATTTTTCTCTGTGGTGGGCTCAGCAGAATATTATGAGATCCGTTGGCATCAGCACTCTTGGAAAAAAAAAAAGAAAGGAAAAGTGGATTAAAGAAAATGACCTAATTGACAAAAAACAATATTATCGCTTTGAGGCACTGAAATAGCCAAGATATGGGCGTTATAAATTTTATCTATTTTTTTGTCGCTTTAAGCTGATAGCTACTTAAACTTATTTATTTACCATTTTTTTCCTTAATCCTGCATTTTTCAGAATATGTATTTTTAAATAAAATTCTATTGGGTTTATTTTCATCATATTCTTTTACCCTCATAATAAATATATAGTAAATTTTCTTTCTCTCTTATAAAGACCGAACACAGAAATAGGAACAGTGCATTTATAGAACCTTTAGGAAAAATTCTTTCAAGGAATTAGTTTTGTTACTAGTCAAAACATATATTCATATAAATATAACATCGTTTTATTGCAAGAGGTCGTCAAGTGACATTTCACAACCCTTAAATCATTAGGAACTTTAATAAATTTTCCCTTGATTGTAAAATGAGTGTATTCCTTAGATGTCTAAAAAGAGTTCGTTTAATTTTAGTAGTCATTTTTTTTTCTATAAAAAATGTTGAAATCTACTAAAATAACAATTCTTATATTTCCTTTTTTTCAATATTTTATGTTTGTTTATATTACAGATTGTATACATTATATGTATATATTAAATATTGAATGAATGTTATACCGTCAATAAAATTAATCTTTGGCTTTTCACTTTACTCTTGGAAGTTTATCCCAAGAGCAAATGGATATAATGAAGGGAGGTAGGACTAATTATTAATTTGCTCCTGGTTACCAGTGCCATTTTGATTTGAACAAAAGACATCAATCAGTGTTGCCAATAACAAGATGGCGGCTACAATGCCACTTGCTATCTGACCCTGCCAGGCCGCAATTTGTCCGTCACAATGGTTTCCATTTTGGGCGGGTGGGGGCAGTATGTGGGCGTCATTGTCGGAGGGTTGGTTCGTTCAAAGGGCCCTTCGACCAATAGTAGTTCGAAAAATACTTTCTTTTTTCCCTCAACATGACTGACCGCTCTGTTCCAACAGTAGGGTATTGTCAAAATAGTTTACGTTGCGCTGTTTATAAAATACAATATTTCGCAAGTAGAATATCTTATAAAGAATGGTTTGTTTATAAAGGAATTTCTCTCAATTTATTGTTTACATTTATTCAATAAACATTCCTTAAACAAGAGTTAAAAAAATATAATCATAACTTTTTTTAAAATTTTTCAACAATACCTTCTTTATCAAGCGACGAATGTAAGAATTTCCTAGCTTTCAATAATTAAATCAGCACTCAATCGTTAAATGAAAATTTATTGTGTATTTCTTAAAAGTATTGTAATACATTTAATTTGCATATAAGTCGGTACAATATATCATTTTATAGCATTTATATATATTTTTTACTGGTATAGTGTACTGTAATTGTGAATAAATATATCCTGATATAAATTCTAACACCGTTTTCCTCACCTTTTGACTGAAATGAGTTAGATACACACAGTAGTGCACTGTTTCCAAAACTCTTTACTGTTGAAATATGCTACAAATTATAAGATGGAAGCGATCGACAACGAAATTAAATTAAACCTTTTTTAACCTCTTGTGAATTTGTGAAAATTGAGTTAGGCCCTATTAGAATTAAAATGGCGAAATACTAATATATTAATTTCTGAAATATTAAAATAGTGCATTAACAAGTAATGTTTAATTATTTGTATGCATAGAAATCAGATCTAATTATAAATATTTTTAAAAATATCTAATACATGAATATTAAATGTCCTTATACCTATCTCGCTCTCTCTTTTACTTTATTTTTATATTGTAATCAAGTTCACTGGCTGTAAGTGTACACTGTGAATTAAACAGTATAGAGAAAAAATGTTGATATAAACTATATTAATAAAAAGATAGGGTAATTATTAATTTATAGTATTTTAAAATAATATTTTTCTGTAATAAAAATGCGGGATTGAATTAGTTTTTGTTTCCTGGAGCAAAGTAACATATAATGAGTTAGGTGTCCGTAGTATTTAGATTATTACGGTTGATGAAAGCTTTTAGTTAATGAATAAAGTAAAATTCGTACATAATATTATTTAAAATATAATAATTTCTTGAATATGATGGACCAATAATTTATATTATTATCGGTTTGTAATTGTGCTCTCAATAGTTCTGGTATGAACCCATCCGTGCAAATCGGACGTGAATCATGACAATGAAATGCGATAAAATTACACACACTAGGATTTATTGCGCATATTTGATCTTGCGCCAGGGCATTCCTTGTTAATTATACTCAACCACCAGCTCTAATTAATAACAATGGAGTACAATTAAAGACTAAGAGAGACGTGCACTGGGTCCAACGGGGCATATCGTCACACTCCACGTTCGCCTATCCTCAAAGCCGTTTGACAAACCCAGCGCTGACAGGGAACTGACAGCAGCTATCGGCAGCGTTGTCAATTTCGCCGAAGGTTTCTGATAACATTTATTTGTGTGTCTGCGGCTCCTGGGACACATTGTCACTGATAGAGGAATTTCCAAATGGACATTTTGCAGCCCTCCTATTCATTTAGTTATCGCAAGTTTCCTACCGAATTCGGTTTCAATGGTGATGGGGATTCAGTTGTTAAAGCCCCCTTTTATTCATAAATACAGGAAATACACTATTTCTTGATTCCTTTATCAGAAATGATTGTGTTTATTAAACCTATCAACTAAAGCTATACTTATTGACATCTAATCTCATCTCCAATCCTATTAGAAAAAATGGATATCGAAGGACCTTCATCCAATTCCTCAGCTTCTTGCGTTGAATTCAAGTCTAGCCGGAAGCCGTGAGGCTTTAGCTGCGCCGAATGACATGGGGATCTCCCCTACTCCCCCTCTAAGGATCCTACATTGTTCATTCTATCCTTAAATCCTTGACTTTAACGATAATCCCCAGAACCTAGGATTACAGCGGGGATGGGACTTAGCCTTGGGGTGTTTATGACTCTACGTGATGGGACTGATGGGGATTTGTACCTCTTG